AAAAAAAAAAAAAAAAAAAAAAAAAAAAAAAAAAAAAAAAAGGAAACGGAAAACAACTAATTAGTAATTGAAGTGCTGAGGATTAAATTCAGGGCCTTGGGTATATCAGGCAAGTACCACTGAGATAGACCCCAGCCTCTGAACTTAATACAGAATCTTACAGTACACTTTGTCTCTCTTTCTTTGAAACAGGGTGTCACTATGTGGCCCAGGGTGGCCTCAAACTCACAGAGATCTACCCATCTCTGCCTCCTGAGTGCCAGGACTGATTACAGGCTACGTGCCACCATGCCCAACAATTTGCATTTCTGATTTAAGATTATATAAATATCCTACTTCATTGTTATTAAATTTGATATCATAGACTGTCAGCAAGTTCCCAACATAAACAATGTAAGGGTTGAGAATTATATTTAAGAGACAAAGTTGGGCATGGTGGCACGTATGCCCATGAACACACACTCCAGCTCCCAGGAGACTGAGGTAGGAGCATTGCAATTTCTGGGCCAGCCTGTGTTACCTAGTGAGTTTGAGGCTACTGGAACTATGTAGGAAAAAAAAAAAAGGATGTTTCAAAAAGCTAGGGTTTTTGTTTTTAGTAATTTATTGAAAATTCACTTAATCTGTAGCCTTGAGAGCCTACTGAGTTCTGCAATTACAGGTATGGACCACTATGCTTGTGCCAAGGCAGAGAATAGCTTAACTTCTCCCATGACAGGAGGGAGCCTGAATCCAAGTCTTCACTATACTAAGCAAGCACTCTCTAAAGGCACTACATTCCCAGTTCTCTGTCATTTTTTAAATCTCTATGTTTTTAGACAATTGTCTCATCACTACATCTAAGCCTTGACTTCTATATTTTACAAATAAAGCTGGCTGAGTTGGCCGAGACTTTGTAACTAGTCAAAATCCCATATCCATGCCTGACTCCCCTGGCTTGCCCTTGGCTTCAATTTTGGCTGAGGCTGCAGAAACAGGAGCAGTAGTGGTGGCTGTTGTCACAGGGGCAGCAGCCACGAATGTAGATGGGAGTAGCTAAGAAGGCCTTGACCTTATCAGCAAGTGGGAAGGTGTATTCTGTTGCCACAGGCGAAGCCAAGCATGGAGACAACAGTTAGATAACCAGTTTGCACACAACACTGGAAGCAAGTGTGCAGTTTCCTCTGTGATATCAAGTACTTCTGGCTTGTAGATCCAATGAACACCAGCTGGATGATTAGCCCAAAGGAGGAAAGGGGCATGCTATGGCTTTGATGGCTCTTTGTCTCATCTATGTCTTGTCTTTATTGCTTGCACATAACTCAGAATTCCAATGACGTCTGAAGATTTTAGTGGTGAAGCCTAAAGTCTAAAAGGAGTTCTTCTCAGGCCCTAGCCCAGTGCTTTGAGTTGGCATAGTGGCCACAAGTGGGGCAGAGACAGGGTAGCATCTTACTGTCAGCATTTGGGTACCTGATACTCCAGGGGTAGCCAGGAAAGTGAAATCCCCTGGAGGTACTGAAGGTTGGTGAGCACCATGTGGGTGCTGGGAATCGAATCATGATTCTCTGCTCTTAACTGTTGATTTGTCCCTCAAGCTCTGCTACGGGTATTCTTGATTCTTGTTATATCTGTGTATGGAGTGTTTTTCTGCAGGAGCTGGAATTTCAAGTAAGGAAATAGGGTTTCCATAGTTAATCCTACACCATGGGGTACTAGTTTGGAGTGAATATGGAAGTACTTACTATTCGACAGACACAAGAGAAGCTCAGCCTGGTATTATTAATGATGGAGTAAGTGGAGATAAGAGGGTTGTCACTCAGCGGACACTATTGCCTCTCCGGAAAAGTACTCAGGAAATTGTGAGAAAGCCCCAGTCACTTAAAATTGATGGAATGTCTTAGGGGTATAGCTAGGTGGGGATACTTCTGGGGTCAAGGCAGCCTTTGGTAGTGGGGGATGTTGGGAAGAGCCTCTAGTATATGAGGGGACCTCAGGATTGTTAGGAAAAGACAAAAAACAAAAAACCAACCAAAAACAAAAAACAACAAGAAACAACCCAGTTGCCAAATTCTTTTCTGTACTCCAACACACCACGAAAAAAGGGGATCCCTGTCTTCTGCAAAAAGCCAACCCAGGGGGCTGGAGCTATTGTTCAGTGATTAAGAGCACTAGCTAATCTTGCAGAGGACAGGGGATAGGTTCCTGGACTCTATGGTGAATCCCTCGGCTTTTCCGCCCTCAGCGGGCTTTACGCACGCCCCTGGGGCACAGACATACACACATGTATGTAAAAAAGCTCAAACAAGCACACGAACCAACTTCCTGGCCTTCACACCGCCTCCTTCAGGCAGGAGGTAAGTGAAGAATTTAGAATCCACCTCCTCCCGCCAGTTGCCATGGAGACCAACTCCAGTCTTTTCATTCCTTCTGGTACCGGGAATGAAGGGTAGTAGCCCAAACACAAAGGAAGAGACGGTGCCTGCACAGTACGGATGGCTGTGGTGCCCCTTCCGCAGATACAGAACCAGACCCAGAAACAAAAGCAAAGGTTAGTCACGGCTCAAAGTCTTTCCTTCTGCTAACACTGGCTACTAATGGCTTCGGGAGCTGAAGGAAGGCGCGATTCATGAGCGCCCGCACCCGGCAGCGAGGAGAGACTAGGCGAAGTCCCGGGAGAGTTCGAGGAAAAAAGGGGAGCCGACCGGCTACCCGTCTCGTGTTTGCGCAGGAGGGGGCGCCCCTCGCTCGACTCGTCCGTGCGCCGCCGCCATCATCTCCGCTCCGTTGTCCTGAATGACTGTCATTGGGTGGCAGCGCGGGCCCTTCGGCTCGAGTCTCAGAGCCGATTGGACGACGGCCCTGCCACTCTCTCATAGTCAGCTCGGATTGGTTCGCTGCACGTTGGCGCAACGGAAGAGGTGGCAGCCCGCGTGCGCTTGCGCTCAGCGGGCTGCGCGAAGACGGCGAGGCGGCGCTGGGGGCCTGGCTCGGGCGGCAGCGGCGGCT